TTTTTTTATTATAAATTTAATTATTATATTAAAAATTGGCATTATGCCATTTAAAAATACTTGAGAAACAATTTTCAGTTCAAATTAATAAGACCTTAGCTCAGTTTAATCTAATAGACTCTTTTGCCAAAAAACGTGGCTAATTCAAATTAATAGAGGATTATATTAATATTTTTCTAATCCATACGTAATAATAATCGATAATTAATATAATTTCAGTTATTTAAGATAGATTATATTATATACTTTACAAGAATACAACTGTTTTATAGTTAGTACCAAAACATAAGACTATATAGTCAAATACTTTCAAAATATTCATAATTCTGAAAGTTTTATACTAAACTAATAACATGGAAAATATATAGAAAAGAAAATTTTTAAGGGTTTTTAACTAGTGTAAGAGTAAAATAAAAATAAAAAAGTGTGCTCAATCAACTACAACTGTGCTTTCAGAGGGAGTGAAGGAGAAGTCTGAAGTGAAGTATTCGACTTAGCCTTTCAAGTTAGTCAGTGGATCATATTCTACTAGTGAACAGAGATAATCGATCCGCAACTTCACTTCCACATTTCCTGATAAATAAATGGAAAACAGTAATTACAGTTACTGTTTTCTATAATTCATTAGCAGTAAAACAGGGGGGGAGATATTGAATCAAATAATTGTTTTCGAATTTATTGTTTAATGAATGTTCAATTAATTTTGTTCAATTTCATACAGCAATATAATACATTTCAAACTTATATAGATGTTTCATATACAATAAGAAATAATAAAACTACAAAGGAGAATATAAATCATATTGTTTTTAAGTTAAAGTGAATAGAAAAAGAAGTAATATGAGTAAGAAGTCTGATAGATTAGGCTATAATATAAATTCTTTCTACGAACTGATTAATTTAATTCTAGTTATTTTATAATCCTAATAATCACTTTTAATAACATTTTTAATTTTATTTTGAGAGGATTAATAATAATCTTAATGTTTTTTGTAATGTTTTAGATATTCATGATAATATAATACAGTAAAATTAAATTATTTTAAATTACGATAGTGTAATAGATGCTTGTTTTAATGAAGAAAACAATTATTTTAAGTTGAAATAAAAATTTTATTATTCCTTAATGGATTAAAAAAAAAATTCCTGCATAAAAAATAATGACAACATTCAGAAAAAGTTCTTGTATTCAATAGCAGCATTTGTTGACTTTAACAATACAAACATACACAAAAAAATATAATAAAAATCAAACAAACTTTCGAGTAAATAAAACTATTAAATCGAATAAAAAATATAAAAAAAACAAATAATTTTACTTAAATTTTTATTTAATTTTATCTAATTTTTTTAAGGATTAATATACAAATAAAAGTTTTCTATAAACGTTTTTCTTTTAAAAAAACACAAAGAAGTTTTAGAAAAAGATATAAAAAAATCTTATATTATTTTATAAATTTAAATAAAATTATAACATATTCCACGAAGCAAGAGATTTTCTTCTAACGTGTCATAATATTAGTATCTAAAATTATATAATACATTATATATGTGTGGTAAAAAAAACTTTAAATAAAAAATATAAAATGTTTTTATTTTAAAATGAATATTTTTATAATTTATCGCTTTAGTATGTAGCAAGTTAATTGATAAAGTTACTTGCAACGTTACTACATAACTGTCAGCGTGACAAAATTAGGTAAACCAAATGTAAACCAGTGATTTAAATATAAAAAAAACAAAAAAAATCAGCAAAGAAATATCGCAAAAAAATGCATAACATTAGTAGGTTTATATATATATTTTTTCTACCAAAAAATAAAGTAACGTGATAAAGTAAAACGATAAAACACGATAAAGGAAAAAAAATTACACGAGGATAAAAAGCCAATGAAGATAAGCCACTAATGTTAACAGGAAATACATTATTTTGCAAAATAAAAATAGGAAATTTTAAAGAAACTTTTATTAATCTTATTTACTGTATTGTTTAATGTTTGTATTTGTAAAATCAAGAACATATATTGCTATTATGATTAATTAAGTTTATTTTATTTTATTTTATTTTATTTTTTTGCCTTGTCAAACTGAATTGATGATTACACGAATTCAGTTTGATAGGGCAAAACAAACACTGAATCAAAGAGTCTAAACAGTAAAGAGTGTAGCATAAAAATCAATCTTGATTTTAGTATCTCATTAACCTTATTACATGTTAAACCATTCATTCATTTGCAAATTTAATGTTTTTCTTGTGATGAATATGTCTTAAAAACTAAATGAATTTTCTTTTTCAATTTCTATTTTATATAATTAAAAATGTAATTTAAAGTGTTTTAAATTTTAAAATAAATTTATTATGTTAATTTTTTAAGATGAAATATTTCTGATTAATTAAATAAAATCGTTGATTTACAATTTATTCAAATTGTAGCCGGATAAATGGAGAATATACAAAATAATTTAAATCAGAAACTTCTCTCGACATATAAAAGGACATATAAAGTTAGATTATAGAATTATACTTGTATAGATCGTGTGACCTAAAAGTCAGTTAACCGAAATATATTTTAATACTACATTATAAAGAGGCATTTCAAATTGATTTTAATAATTCTTAAAATACTTATTTGGGTTAACTTTATGATCATCCTGTTAAATACAATACATAAATATACGATAATTATTGTACTAAATACTTATAAAATTACAAAATAATTAAAATTTTATTTTAATTAATTTATAACATAATTCTACATTTTAGATAGTATAATCATAGATTTATATAAGATTTATATAGATTATTCAAGTTAAATCTCTCCTGAATATTTATAGAAAAGCTATGGACTAATCCCAAATTTATATTACAAATATATTCTGTATTTATCTGTTTATCCATTACAAAATCTGATAAATATTTAAATTAATACTAAAAGAAAATACTAAATTTTAAAGTTATTTTAAGAACATTTTTTTATTTTATTTTCTATTGAAATTTATTATATATTTTTTTCTGTCTTTTGTAGTAAAAAAGTTTTTGTAGAAAATGTAATCTTCTGTTTAGGACTTTTTTGCACGTCTGGGAGTTGTTTTCGTTGTCTTTCTAAATGACATTATCAAATTTGAACTTTTGATGGAGAACGTCTCTGGAGTTAATCTGTCGGAACCATAGGAATTCTTTCTTTAAAATACTAAAAAGAAATTATATGTAGCAAAGTTGAAATAACCAGAGTCAAATTCTTTTCCTTTATTGAATTTATTCTTTAAAACAACAGGATAATTCTCATAGTAAGATTATTAGCATTTTAAAAATTAAGTTGAATTAAGTAAGTTTGGTATTTAGTTTAATTTATTTGTAAGATATATTAAATTCAAATTTATCAACATTTATTATTGAGAATTATATCTATAATTTATTTTAATGATAATAATATATAAGGTCTCAATTACAACTTGATTTTCCTTAACGCGCATTTTCTTCGTGTCAAAGGCTTTCGTAGTTCCTTAACACTGTTTTTAGATTACTTTCAACTTCCCTGATTCGAATTTTGATATTTATTCTATCCAAAGGTGATCCTAATTATAAGACTTTCATGAAATTTTCATAGAACTTTTTGTTTTTAATTATTATAAAATGACAAAAAGCTTAATTTTAAGAGTAGAAATGAGTTTTAATTATAATAAACTGTAAATGCTAATAACGAGTAAAATCATTAAGTCCCACCTTAACTGTCTGACACGACTTCTGTATCTCTCCACCTAGTAGATCTTTAACCACTAAAATTTAATAGCATCAATCCCCTAATACAAAAATCTCTCTGTAAAATTTCAGAAATTTTCGACAAAAAGCATAAGAGTTATTAACTCTTTCTGCCCTGTGGTCATTGAGGTCTTTTTAATCATACTTATCGTTAGTTCTATCAGACCCGTAATACTCGATGCTGAATGTTGAGGAACGGGCACGTAGGATCGAGAGCAAAGAATCTATGAAAAATTCCTGGGATTGTTTGCTGGCACGCAGAGCGGTCAGCTCACGCTTTAATCTCCTTGGCCATTTGGATTCTGTGAAGTACTCTTAAAACAAAATATTTTCTTGTTAATGCTCAATTTTTGAATTTTGTGCGGATCATAGCAAATAAAATTATCTACGTACTTCATGCCATAGACCAAAACCAGTGTTATGCATAAATAGCCAATTATTTATACATATCTTTGTATAAATAGTCACATCTTATTTTTATTTTATACGTAAAACATGTTTACAGTCCTTACTAAAATATCACGACATCGCATGCGCTACGATATTCCTAATATAAGTTATTCGAACATTCGAAGTATTTGAATTTAAAAAAAAAGAACTAAAAGAGACATTCGTTTGATATCAGTGTAATATTCGATTATGGCTCTACCATTTCATATATACGAAATAGAGAATTTCGATCCTCCTCCGAATGAAGAATTAATCTGTAGTATTTGTCACTGTGTGTTTCGAGATCCTGTTGCATGCATTGGTGATTGGTTGACTCTGCAGCAAACGTGTCCGATTTGCAGAAAGTATGCTGATATTTTTGACTTGCAAGCTGTTGTACCTTTAATCACCAATATGATCATGAAATTAACTATTCGATGTCCAAATATGAACAAAGGATGCCATCACAAGTGTTCTCTCGAAGGGTACAATAATCATTTGGCCAATTGCGAATATGAAACAGTTCAATGTAAAAATGAAAATTGCCAAGTGAATTGCATCCGTAAGTATATGTTTCAACACGAAAATAACGAATGTGAATATCGAATGGTAGAATGTAAAAATGGATGCTCTATGACATTTCCAATTGGTTTAATCGAATCGCATAATTGCATTGAAGAATTAAAAAAAGAAGTTATAAATAAGACGAAAATAATTGAAGAAATGAAAAATGAAATTGAAGATTACAAAAGAAAATTAAAGAAATAAGTACAGAGTTAAAACAATTTGACACCTATGCTACATATGATGGATATGATGACAGCTATGCCACATATGATGGATATGATGACACCTATGATACGTTATCTTCCAATCATTCAAGTTTTATTAGTCCTCGAGAAACTGGAGATTTAGGCAATGATTTAGAGAACACAACTGATACAACTGAAGAGAACAGAGATTATGAATTATCTTATGTATCAAGTAATGTGGATGATTTAATGCCTGTTTTCATTGAAAATTTTCATTGCAGTGATGTTAATGAAACGTTTGAAAATACGAGAAATACCGACAATCATAATAATAACGATAATTTACGACAAGAGAATAAAAATGATGCAAATTTTGCTTCTGTCAGTAATCAATCAATCCCTTTAATTCGAAGTCAAAATATATGTATCAGTAGGTCCTTTCATACAGAAATAAACATTAGAACATCAAAACTAGAAAAAGAAGATACAGGGGAGTTAATAAATACAATGTTTAACTTCGAAAATCATAGTGATATTTTGTGCTTAGAAGAAGAAAATCTTGAAAAAGAGATTGAAAATGAAAATATGGAAGATATGTCCTCATTCTATTCAAGTATTTTGAATCGGACATTCCCAACTCCATCTTCATCTGATTTATCCAACGAAAATATAAATATGTCAAAATCACTTGACAATTATACGGATTCTTCAGAGGATAGAAAGTTTTTATGTAAAGATTACTTAGAAGAAGACAATTTGTCCTCGTCTGGTATTTTAAAATATAAACAGCAAACTACTGACAATTTAAATGCTGATGAAAATCCTGAAAGTATTGAACAAGATAAATCTTTAAAAAATAATTGTCAGTTATCGCGAAATGAAGTTCTAAACTTAAATTATTGGAGTGAAACAAAATCGTCAGTTCATAAAACTGATTTACAAGAAATGTCTGAACTTCAATATTCAAACAGCGATGATCAGGATATAACGGAATCTGGATATAAACGAGTGAGAATTTGTGATATATGTGATTATAATGACGGTGATTACGAAGATAGAAGTTAATTAATTACTAAAAGAGAATTTGATATGGAAAAAGAAGAAAAATTAGAATGAGATAAGCTTTTCAGCAAATTGTAATCTTTTAAGCAACGTTAATTATAAANAAAAGAAAATTAAATGAAATAAGTACAGAGTTAAGACAATTTGGCACCTATGCTACATATGATGGATATGATGACAGCTATGCCAGATATGATAGATATGATGACAGCTATGCCAGATATGATGGATATGATGACACCTCTCATACATATGATGCTGAATTGTAATCTTTCAACCAACGTTAATTATAAAGAAGACCGATTCATTGGAGAGAAAAATTCGAAAAAATAAAATGTATTTTTGACGGTTAACACAGTATTTATTATTGAATTATTAATGCTTAATATTGTATATACATATTGAAAATTTTAAATAAAATGTTCTTTATATAGACTACATTATAGCTTGTTTATTGCATATATTACCGGAAAACTATGACATTCAGGCATTCTCTAGAATGTCTGGGGGCATTTTATAAAATTTTATAGTTTACCGATAATATACATATAATTGCGTTAACAATTATTCTAATTAATCAAGTGTCAAAATAAATTCCAAACTATAGTATATAAAGTAAATATTAAATAGATTCGTTCGAGAGAAAATAAGATATTGTTTTTTATTATGAAAATCAAACTTTTATCCAGAAACTTATGGACAATATCGTAGTCTATTGAAATGATTCCGTTTATGAACTAAAAACTTCATATATCTTGTTTCACCTAGAAACGATAGATCGAGTGTATCATATTTGATTAAAGAGCCGTCAGATTTTATCGTTTTTACACTAAAATATTCAAGTTTGAATATTATGAACCTTGTATTTCATTATATATATGCATCTTATTAACAATAGAGTAACAAGGAAATTTTTTAATACAGTAGCCCCTCGTTATATCGCGCTTGTCGGGAGACAAAGAAAAAGCGGGATATATCCGAATCCGCGATATAACGAACGGCTATTGTATTAAATATCACAATACATAATACTAAATGGACAAAATATCGAAGGCTCAAATAAATTTGGCACTTTACTCTTATTGACAATTGAACGATCAATGAAGAAAGGCATCAACTTTCCGCTCTTAAAGACTATAATTTGAATCTGGACGAATTCAGTAATATTTTTCATAAAAACAAAAAACGTCAGATATGACGAAAACAAAAAAACCAACATTTATTTAGATTTCACACTGGTTTCATAGCGATTAGACATACAAAAAGTTACACTGTAGTTTCGAGATAAACACGTAGAGTCACTGAAACAGTTCTATCTCAAATACTTCCATATTGGATCAGAAGATTGCCAAAATCCGTGATTCAACATCCATTCATGTCCATGTCTATCCCATGGAACTCTAAAACTTCTTCAATCAGAAAAAAATCCAATAAAGAGTTGCATAACTTTCCCGGCGAAATACACTAAATATATTAGTGTTATGGACCGAATGATTAATAGGGCAATGATTAAAATGGGCTCGCAGTCTGATAGACATTAATTAATTTATTAAATTGACCAGACATTATGAATACAGTTACATTTTCTCTTTGGGCAATTTGATTTTAAAAAACACTTCGCTTTTTTCATTAAGAATTATTTATTTTTTGTGAATTATTTCAAAATGTAATAAGTGGAGATTTTTAATCAAATTGCCTGAAGGGAATATAGCTTTATTTATAATGTCTGGTCAATTTAATAAATTAATCAATATTTATCAGACTGCCTGCCAATTTTAGTCATTAGTCAGAATGACAGGGCATTACGAATAATGCCCTATTAATCACTTGGTCCGTAACATATGTACTAATATGTTAGCACGGGTGGCCGACAGTTTTTGCCCCCGGGCCGGATTGGAAAGAAAATTTTTTCTACGGGCTGAACCAGAGGCTGCCCTAGAAAGCTTTTGAGGTGGTGTGAGATCTCATTATGGTGTCACCCGTAGAGACTGAATTGTAGATAAAGATTACAGATACATTTTTCACATTATCATGCTTTATCAACACTATGCTGTACTTACGAGATTTGTAATGGAGGGTTAACTCTAAACACACAATGAGTTGTTAATCTTTTTTTTTCTTTTTTAGGCATCAGAATTTTTCATCGAGCTAGTCAGACTTCACAACCTAATATTGAAAGATTGATCACAGGCCACAAATTCATTAGACAGGCCGTATGTTGGCCATGCCTGTGTTAGCATGTTAACTTCTGAAATTTCTTGTTTGATATAGTGAATGGAATATTCAAAAAATTCTGATATAATTTTCAGCAACATCACTTTCATTTTTAAATTCAATCGTCAAATTTTCCTCATTGACTCGACTAACATTTGCTACAATTTGCCATTCTTTTTGTCAATTCAATAAAATAAAGTAGTCTAATAGGCTGTGGTAGCTCTCAGATACAATTTAAGGTAGTGTCGAGAAAAATATGCAGTGTCATCTAACAAAGAGAAACTGACAAAGCAATGGTAGATAATCAAAGTTGCCAGATTCTATGCTACCCGAAGAATGTACCTGCCAGATCGATCGCAACTTCCGGAAGGTTTTAATAAAACAAAAATGCATATTCCTCATTGTGTACAAAACAAGAAACAGATTAAGTTGGTAAAGGGTTGCAAAACTTATGAGCACTAAAAAGAACTTGTAGAGTAAGGCCAAGAAAAAAGTCTTTTCTTGCACACAATAAATACTGATGTAAGGAAATGGTATAAAGGTGCCTAAATCACAAAGATTACTCCAACTTCCCTTTTATAATCTGGATCAGACGCCATCAGACTTCTGGCAGTTCCTGGAATCAAAGGAAAACCAATGCTTTTTATCGAAAGACAGTTCAAGCTATAATTTGGGATTGGACCAAGGAAAAACAGAAATGCATTTTTTGCACAGATTACAGAACAAATCCAATATTTGGAAAAATGTCATTCAAAATAATTATTCCATTATTTTTAAAACTGTTCACATTATGCCACCTCTTTCCAAATTAATTTTATAAAAACAGAGATCTTGTTTATCAAAACCATCCTTTGTATATGTGCACGTACACACAGTGCCAAATTTAAAAATAGTTTTCTAATAATTGAGATTTCTGGAAGCAGGATAGTTAGTCCAGTACCATGTCTCTAGTATTGCAAAGTCAAATACTAATTCTAAATTCAGATATGTTGTTTTATTTTTGAATTTCATTACAGTCCTGAACATACGAATTTCATCCTCAAAGCAAAGAAATTCAATGCAAATTTTGCACTTGCACACACTAATTGCTAAAGTCGATCAGAATCACTTTCAGGATTGTAATGAAATTCAAAAACAAAACAACATATCTGAATGTAGAATGTTGCAAAGTCAAATACTATAGATATGGTATCGGACCAACTATCCTGCTTCCATAAAGCTCAATTACCAGAAAACTATTTTTAAATTTTGCAGGCCATAGTATGGCTGTAGTTTGGTGCATGGCTGCTTTGTTTTAGTTTCTGTGGTATATGTGGCACACGACACCGGTTCCAATGTGACCATTGGCATACCGTGTGCCGAATACTATTTCATTCTTTACTTTTCATTGTTTATTTCATCTGTATCTATAAAACTGGAAAATGCAGAAATCCAGAGCACTTCTGGTCCCAAGCTTGCCAGATATTTGGTTTGATTTGAGCAGATTTGGTTTGATACAGATTTCAAGTATAACGACTAAGTTTGGGCATTGGGAAAAAAGTAACTCTGTACAAACTGATATCAGAAAATGTTCTTTAAGAATACAACTGACATGTCAATTCTATATAGGTTATCCAGAAAATAACTTCTGCTTGATTATTAAAAAAAATCACCAGTATGGTGAAAGGAATTTTATTACACAAGTTAAAACTACACCTTTGCTCTATTTTTCAAGTCTCCAACCAAATTTAAGCATTTTTTGCAGTATTCCATTGTTATAGAACATCCATGTCAATGATCACTTCATGAAGAATTGTGTACAAAACTTTCTAGTAAGTTCTGAAATTGTGAACTGACAATTCTCTCTAACCTTTCAATCAATATTCTGTGTAAGTTTATTGGTTACAGATGGCCAGCCACTTCTCTGCTTATTGTGGACATGTCTGCTCATTTTTGAATATACGGTACCATTATCTCACTATGTTCTTTGAAAACTTTGCACAGATGATGATGGATTTCAACAGCTTTAGTTTTTGGCTAACAGAAATCTTCTCATTGAGCACAGATCACAGATGGCGGGATTCCCGAGTGGCAGAATACATTTTGAACGGCAGTCATGTCAAGACGACAGAGAACAAAACCTGCACTCTGCCACAGCCGGATGCATATTCATTCACTCTATGCCACTGCCAAACCCGGTGCCATTATCTCCACTATCTACCACAAAAAAACAGAAGTTACTTTACAGATAGTTTTCGTACATATAAGTAAGAATTGAAATTGTAAACCATATATCATCATTTTGTTCAAAATATCTTTGTTACAAATAGAGAATTTAAACTGATTCATAATAATTTTATTTAAATTATTATGAATCATTTTAAATGCAGGAACTATTCTATTCTCTGCACCGGGATGAAAATAACGTCACACTATCGGAACCTGTGACCGGTGCTCTATGCGTATACATTAAATATCGCTTGACAAACGTTTGAGCGTTCTGTTCGCTCTTCTTCAGGTCAACTGAAAGAATTCCCCGGATGGAGTGTATATTATTCTTCTCTAGGATCAGGTGTCGGTTCTGAGGGGGTGGGTCGCTTCTGGCATGTGCGGCCGTGCGGCGGGGGGAGTGGCGGATTGGCGTCCAATAGTGATTGCCAGGCCAGAGACAAGGTCAGTTCCTCTTTCCGGTTAATGCAGGTGGTTAGCCGGTTGGCGTTGTCAATAGCCGCGGCTTGCAGCCATCTGAGTTGCTGCTGGTGGGGGGTGTCGACAATAATGGTAGCCCTCTCAAAGTGTACTTCGATTTCGGGGTTCGATGCGTATGTGGCTAGGGCTGTGGTCAGCCTCCCATGCCAAATATCCGCTTGGTGTTCACGTAGGCGGGTATTTAAGGAGCGTTTGCTTGAGCCGATGTATAGTAGTGCCGCTTTTTGTCTATTGTCACGGAGCGGGATAGAGTAGATTCCGGGGAGTCTGGTGCGATCAGGAGGATCCTTATCATTTCTTAGGATGCGGAAAATCGTGGGGCATCTTCTGTACGCCAGTCGAATCCCGTGCTCTTTGGCTATTTTTCTGTATACAGGCATACCTCGACTTACGTCGGTTTCGAGTTACGTCGTTCCCGATTATACGTCGCTTGTTAAAAAAGTATATGGAAAAATAAAAATCAAGTTTAAGTCATTTTATTCGACTTTACGT